TTTTTTACTCCTTATTCTGCCATGAAACAGCAACTGTTTATGACGCAGCAGCGTTTCCTTTATTGCTGCCACAATAAACCTCTTTGTTGCCATTTTACACTGAAAGCAGGACAAATAATTACAGCAAAACAGACTGTTCTTTCTTGCATTGAATTATCTCAAGACAGGGTTAAACAAGTGAAGCTTAACCAAAAGGCCACCTAATTATAAAGAGCACCAATTATAAACATGTTTTATAGGTTTAAAATGCCTCAAAGTACTACACACATCATGCAGTATTAGCCACAGTACACTTAGAAAGATCAACACTTCATGTATGCTTATTGACTGAGCTCCAACTGGTCAGCTCCACAGTCACCAGAGCTCAGTAAAATAGATTGAGGAATGTTTCCAGCACTTCAGGGCGATCGTGGCTCAAGAGTTGTGAGTTCGCCTTGTAATCGGAAGGTTGCTGGTTCGAGCCCCGGCTTGGACAGTCTCAGTCGTTGTGTCCTTGGGCAAGACTGGGTGGTCAGAGGGTCTGGTGGCGCCAGTGTCCGGCAGCCTCCTCTCTGTCAGTGCGCCCCAGGGTGGCTGTGGCTACAATGTAGCTTGCCATCACCGGTGTGTGTGAATGGGTGGATGACTGGTTGTGTAAAGTGCTTTGGGGTCCTTAGTTGGAGTAGTAAGGCGCTATACAAATACAGGCCACTTACTTTGTTAAATCTATGGCACAAACAACGACGTCACTTCTGAAGATGAAAGGAGACGAATCCAGTGATAGCTAGTTGTAACTAATAAAGTGGCCGGTATATCATATTCATATACTTGAAGAACAAATCTCCTTTACTTATTTGCTTTATTCCACCTGATGGTCATCTCAGTCATGTGTTAGAAAGAATACAATCAAGTGGGATAAAAAAGAAAAAGAAAAAAAGAAATGATCAACAGGTTGCAATTCCTCAAGTGGCCACTTGAGGCTGAATTCAGAATTGAGTCAATTCGCTTATTTTCCATTGTTAAAATGCACAAGTTCACAGCAGTAAAAAACCTGGTACAAAAATGGCTTTTGTGGATAAACGTCCTTCAAAAAAGACGTGACAACGCAACTGTACGGACGCTGGTAATGCTTATGGTTAGGGGTGCACATGCTCTAATAATCTATGGCATGCTGAGACAAGAAACTGTGGCAGTTGCCTGTCTGCTAGGCCTCACCTCTGCTTATTCCAGTCACTGAACTCAATCTTTGCATCCTATTTGTGCTCTCAGTGCATTTGGAGCATTTTTATTGGAGTTATCAGATGAATAATATGGCCTACTGTGGGGTGCTAAGCATGCAGGGAGTTTGGTGAGTAAAATTTTAATGTTACTAAATTAAACTGTTCACCTGCATTAGTTATCAGATACCTACATTTGTACGGCCCTCTTTGTCCAAATATGATCATTTGTGGCCCCTGTAAACTAACCTGGTGATGACCAAAATGCTAAAAGTGCCACTCATTGACAACCAATGGGCATTGTTAAGTTATTGGGTTTGCACATCTTTTATATAAAATCAGTGGTTACATTATGAAGAAAAGGAATAAAGGAGTTCAGATGGTTTGTGCCATCAATTCTTTATATATGATTCATAAGCAATAAACAGTGCAGTATCTTAAATAGCAAATACTCTGTTTTCTCATCTGTTTAGTGTCCTGAGGGAGTACCACAGGGTGAGATGCACGGCAGACCCTGCCCATAACATTACTAACTCTGATAAACAGGTATTCTTGATTTTCAAATTAATTTTGAATACATCATTTATTCAGCAATAATATGTGTTATGCACCTTTTAGACTCCAGAAGAACATCAGACCAGTTGAGTAAGATGTGCAGCAGTCCACTGTTATCTGTGTGAAATTTTCTTGTTATAATAATGGGATCACATTCAACATTAAGCTTCTTATAAACACAAAAATTAGGTTATATCATTGCACATTGCATATTCCACATATTATATAGGCTAAGTATACTAACAACACTGGAACTTCCTGACCTTGCTTCCCTCAAGCCTCTGAATAGAGCTGTCTTATCTGGGCCTAATAGCCGCTCTGATAAATGGACACAGCCCCTCAGGCATGGACCATAATAAGAAGACAGACCTATTCCTGGGACTAGCAGCCATTATGGAGTCACAGCCCCATTTTATTTTAATCAAGCTGAGGTCATGCACATGAATTATAAAGCGCTTTATTCATCTTTGCACTTTCTTTAAAAGTTTAATTAGAAACTCGTGCTTGGACAATAGCAAAAGCCCTCAGACAATGACACACCTGGATCAAAACACCTCTTCCTTCCATTACATAATCCAATGCAATTTTCCCATATTTCAAATATCATCGGCACATGTGATGGGAAAGTGTTGTATTGTAAAGCACCTTAATGCACATCTGTTTGATTATGTATGGTATTCTAATGACAGCAGCCTGGACACATGTCCTGGATGCTATAATAGATCTCAGGTATACACTGTTCTGCACGTGCTCTGTCTGTTTGTTGTGTTTACTGGCTCACTGCATCAGGACAGGAGAAAGTAAGGAAATGGTTCTGTTTAAATTCCAGACATAATCCATAACAATTGAAGCTTTTGTGGTTTCCACCAAGTTTTATTTCACACTCACAGTTTCACAACTGTTTCAAACATCTTCAGGAGTCACGCCCTGACACATTTGCGCTCACGCACAATATGAACATGAGGTATCACTTAAGTGTGGTGTTTTTTTATTATTATTTTTATAATGTTGACGATATGTTCTGTGTCTTCGTGACATCTCTGAGGCTTTTTGTTCTGTTCTAAATTGTAGGACACAAGCAGTTTATTCTCTGTGCACATAAAGTGGTTTGTTAAGTAATGCATTTGTCATCCACCATATGGTAAATGGCCCGATCATAACACCCTTCTTCAATCAACCTTTTGAGATTTACGTGTTTTGGCGTCAACAGGCTTAAGAAGACAAAGGCAGGAAAGAAAATTTTAAATGCCTCTTGAACACACACTGTGCTCAGTGATAGAATCGATTGTGGTGACAAAGATAGACATTTTGGATCTCAAGTGTCTGGGTCATTTAAGGCTTTTTGTCTGACGTATTGAAGATCTCTGCCAGGGAAGATTGGCTTGACTGGGTGAAGACAGAAAGCCTGGGTAAGTTTTTTCAGTGCTACCTACACACACGTGTCCTGGCTTTGGGTATGTACCATTATCAAGTCGGTAAACTGCATACCTCCCTGTGAGGAAGAGACTAGAAGTCATTCTTTCACGTATAAGGCTTGATTTAGTTATAGTAAAGCCGAATGTAGCAAACCCACATTTCTTTCTTTTTGCTTTTTTCCAAGGAGCCACATTTTCTTCAGATTTCTAAAGTGGTCTTAAGCAATAGTTGTGCAGGCTTTCTAAACGTCTTTCGGGGGGGTTGTGTTTTTTTGCTTTTGCTTTTTTTTTAGACCACCAATGACCTACAAATCATTCAGTAATAAACAAGGTTCCTTAACTTAAGCAATGAACAGAGAACTTAGCAGAGAACCAATTTTAAATTGTATCTTTTAACTCTTTGTTACTATGTTGGAAAAAATATCCACTTTCTTTAGATAAATCTATGAAAAGTGTCAACGATAACACAGTTTGACACTCATAAAATAGTATTGATGCACCAATAAGGTGATTCCCAAAGAGCCATTAACTGAAAACTTGGCATACTTCGGTGTCAGGGAAAGGGTGGTTGTCCAGAAGCCATTACTGAATGGAAGGGAAACGGGAAAAAACCCTGATGTATGCCAAATTACAAAAGCACTGGGCTGAAAAGATCTTATGGAGTGATTGATCCAAATTTCACCTTTTTATTTCATATCATTGTTAATATCATTAACTGGGGAAGTCAGGAGGGAGGTACAACAGCATCATGGTATCAAGCGGCATGTCAGTCAGTGGTGCTGGGGACCTTGTCAAAATTGGTGGAATTACAAACTCAGAAAGGTACTGTCAGAGTTTGACACAGCACTGAAAAAAGACAAGAAAAGCTTACATAAGAGGTCAGACTGTGCTGAAGAATAAAAGTGGTCATAGCAAATAATGGCTTTCAAGCTTGTTAGGAACATGGAAACATGAAAATGGCCTCATGTGGCCACTGTTTGTGCTGAGCCCTGTCCAGGGGCTGGATCACAGAAATATTTCTGTTGTTCTAACAGACCAAAGGTAAAGTTGTCTCTATTGTTTACAGTCAGGCTGAGCAACATAGCTGAGATGTGCTCATTTCCTACATATCCCAAAAACACTCAGGTGTGGTACGTTTTTAATGCGCAGAATGTTTTGAGCATCTGCAAAAATCTTGCTGAAACTCATCTGAGACAGACAGGAGGATGCTGAAAAAAGTGAACCTTCGTAATAATTATCGTTTTCGCTGATGTGAGTAGTTAACGCATGCACATTCAAGCTTCCTCAAAGAAGACGCAAAAGTAGCAAATATCAGGCAGAATAATCAGCTCAATACTCGCATTAAAGGACGGAGATTGATTTTTATTTTTATTTTTAAAGGACGGAGATGAATAACACAGTGAACAGACGAGTTAATCACATTCACATGTGTGCTGACTTTGGTGCATAATTTTTTTTTTTCCTTCAAGTCATGTCTATTTTAATGCCCTCATGTACAAGTAGTTTAAATGTTGTGACCAATCATGAGACACTGGAGAACATTAATATAGCTTTGGGATTCGACGACGGATGAATGTGATGATAGAAACTGAAGTCAGGGAGCACAGGCCAGCACAAACAAACTTTATTGAGGTTTTCTAGACAACACACAATTGTTACAAGTAGGCCTTTATATATTTCATTACTGAGCTGTAAGTGTTTCGTTATTTTATGTCAGTTATTGTAAGTAATTTCCAATTGAATGCTGGGTATGTGGTCGGTATAATCCCAGAATAAGGACACGTCATAGTGTTTTATACTATAAACACTACCAAGCAGAACTGAAATGCGACCCTGTAATGCATGAAAACTGAAGTGGGGTGGCCAATATTTTTATTTATCAAGTTCTATGGTGAACTTTTGGTCTTGGTGTAGGGAACCATTTATATTTTAGGGGGTGCGCTGATTGGTTTAAATATTAATGACCTCACGAGCGCCCAGCAGCCGTTGTTCTTATTACTGTTAAATGTCCCTGCCGAGTCCCTGCTGGGCGCTCGCTGATGAGGGTAAAAGCAGATTTATTGTTGGACAATTTGTGTCGGATTTGTCTGTGCAGCCTAATGAAAGCACAGAAGCGCATTTCTTGTGGCCGTAATGATGTTTCACAGAAATGTTTTATTAAGTTCTCCTGGCTAGCAAATTACACACAGAAGATGCACATCTTCAACCGCTCGCTTCAGAAAGATGTGCCGCATGCTGGGTTTTTGCTAATCTTTCCCACCTCGCTCTCCGTGAGTTCTAATGATATGTTGTATAATAATATAGAGCGCACGATTGAATAATTACATACGCTCGCATTCCATCCTCCACGTGGAAGATGGAAACGCTATTAAGTGATCTTCAGCAGAAAATTTGAGGCCTAAATATAAAGTGAGCAAACAGAAGTATGTGTAACCGAGGCCTCCGAGTGCAAATAAACAGTTGAGCTTTAAATCCAAAGGGATTTTTTCTTTTCTCAACGTGACGGTGCCGATGGGAAGAAAGAAACAAGTCATCAGAAATCACAGCCCTAGATTCTTGGGGGATGAAAGGAAAAATGGCAACATGTATCAATGACTCTCTAGGGGCACTGAACACAGAGTGTCTGAAAATAAGTACTATTGATGTCGCCTGTTAACTATTTCAGCCACCGAGTGTAGGTCGGACACTGTCATACACATGATCGTATGTACACATGGGCGTAAAAGGAGCTTGAAGTATTTAATTCAGATGACATACGAGATATTTAAACACAGACACGGGAACAATCGCATTTAGGTGAAACATTTCACAAGATCAGCTGATAAACAACCTTTTTGGGGAAAATATTCAACGCAGTAAAATATCAGAAACAACATTTCGAGTCATGCACCACAGTCTTTTTAATCAAATCACAACTGAAGCTGGTGGGGATGTGATTATTGGCTTTCGAGGTTTTTACTCGTCAGCTGGTCTCAGACAAAATAAAACTCCTACCTGATAACGGTGCCAGAAGAAAACGCTACTGCTCAAGTTATTATCAGCTGGAGACCATTCATATCTGAGCATTTCCTGCTAATAAAGTCAAAGTAATATTCAAGCTCAGGTTAGTGCTTGCAGAGAGACTCTTCCTCTTCCTCTGAGCACCACGAATGTCAAATTTGGGATTTTAGTGAATTTATCCAGTACTTGAGGACATATTTCAGTCACAGCTATTTTTTTTTTATTGTTTTTGTTCTTTTAATTTGAAAAATGTTTTCAAAATGTGATGTGCAAGATCGTGTGTCTGGCATTTTCTGTATGAAAGCGTTGTATGCAGTGATCATCTGTAGAGTAGGAACATTACACTGCTAGGCTGTTTGCCTTCACACTTATTAGAAGAGTTTCAGTCTTTACCATGAGGGAACCGTACTTTCACACGAAAATGCGAAATGAGGTGTAATCAGTGTGTGATCATCGAGGCTTTCATCTGCAGTCCGATAGGCTCTTGAGGCTGATGTACATGGAGCTGACCACAGTGGCTTCTTCCTGCATGGACTCCTTCAGGTCAGGCTGACCTACACAAAGCAGGCTGACCACCCTTTTGGGTAGCTTTCCGCTAAACAGCATGTAGATGCAGGGGTTCACACAGCTGTTTAAACTGGCAAGCAGCATCAAGATGGTGAAGGTTGCACCTGGAGATAGAGGAGGAGGACATGAGAGTCACTTTATTTGGGCTTGGTTGTCTCTTACAGATTTGTGGCTATTTTAAGTTATCTGTTGATGCTTTGTGAAATTAAGGACCATTAACCTTTGATCTAATGTACTGTCTGTCGATTACAGTGACTTCATTCAAGTGGAGAGGGCATCCGTCCCTCGTAATTTCACTTTTAAAGTTCACTTTCATTGTAATACTAAGAGATTTTAAGGTGTAGATGTTAGAAATAATGTAATTTACTGGATGTATTAAGTGTAACGGGATTGTATAAGTGGAATGAGTTCAAAGCAATTATGCAGAAAATTCTAGTTTCCTCCTCTATTGTTTTCCTGAGCATGATGGCGTTTGTAGCCACTTAAACTTGCAGTAATAACAATTTTTTTTTGCTTTCCAGTGACTTTTATGTCAGACTGTGCCCTTTTTGCGTGTTGTGGGATCACTGTCTTCTTACTCTGTGTGGGTGCCTCGTCGTCCCAGACAGACCAAAGCTGCACGGTGAAGAAAGGTGTCCAGCAGAGGATGTATGCGAGCACGATGACCACGGTCATCTTCACCGTCTTCACCCTGGCCTTGGACACTCCTGCCACGCTGCTGGCCCTCGATGACGGAGGCTTGCTGACCGCTTCCCCGACGTGGTGCGTCTTCATGTGGAAGTTAAGCTGCACTGCGCGGCAGATGCGCACCTGGCACACGATCACGGTGAGAATTGGCAGGACGAATATCACCAAAGTCGTCCAGGTTACGTAGGCTCTCCGTCCCCACGGCTCGATGAACTGCGCCCAACAATCGTACACGCCGGGAGCGACCTCGACCCGAGAGAAGATGAAGACCTGCGGGAGGCTGCAGAGGACGGAGACGCACCAGGCGGCGCACACCGGACCGTTCCAGCGCGCCCTGCGCCTCTGGAAAGTTACCATGGGATTGCAGATGGCTTGGTACCGATCTATGGTCATCACTACGATCATGTACGTGGAGGCGAACATCCCGACCACCTGCAGGTACTTTACCGCCCGACACAGCACATCTGGACCGATGAACCTGTCGGTGATGTCCCAGATGAGTTGGGGGCAGACTTGGAAAAATGTGACCACCAAGTCAGCGACGCACAGGTGGAAAACGAAGACGCGCATTCTGGAAAGCGGCTTCCTGCGCTTCCACAGCACCAGCAAGATCCCAAAGTTTAGGATCCCCGCTGTGATGAAGATGATGGCGAGAAGGGCGATTTCCACCTGCGCCAAGCGCTCATCCCGAGGATCGTCACCAAACAGTGCACTCTCCGAAGAGACGTTACTGATATTTACACCGATCCAAGCCATGCGTTCAACCCAAGCGCAGCACAGAGGGGATTAAATAACCACTCCAGGTGAATCCAGCGGCAGAGGCGGCATGTGAACGATACAGAAAACTCTTGGCGATTTCATCGAAATGTAAAAACGACGGTGGGAGGGACACGGGCTGAACAACTGTTGAGCTTCTTCATACACAGAGAGCGGTAGTAAAGGAGATCAGCGGGTTTTATGTCTCATCTCTGTGGGAGGGAGGAGCAATCTCACTCCAGCACAAAATGTTTTATTTCTCACAGTGCCAGAAACATTAGCATTCACACACAGAGGGCCACCTTTTATTGTACAGAGCATGCAGAAAAGGGCAGCCATGAAAACAACCTTTTAGTAGAAGTGTAAAATGATCTGTACAGAAAACAGAAATACAGTCAACATAAAAAAGCCACAGACACAAACATTCCTCTGCTTCCTATCATCATGTGAACAATGAAAATAAACATCTACTGTGAATAAACTGAATTTATTCCATGTGTTGTCGTCCTTTACAGGTCAGAGCGAGTTTACTGCAAAAGATGAGAATTCAACTGGCTGAGCATCAACAATAGTGGCCCAAGGCTGCAGGCTCAGGCTAAAGAGCATTTTTCCGCCCGATTTCATGTCTCACTCACCGTAGTGTCCTTTCTGATTGTTTGAGCATCAGGCTGCTCAAACAATACCCAGGAGCAGTGCAGTCGCAGCATCAAGCGTCCATGTGATTACCATCTAAACACAACAAAAACATTTCTGCTCCTCTGCTTGTTTATAGCTTTACATAACTCAGCAGTTCATCTTTGTCCATCTGGTAATGACTCTTCTTCCAAATGTCACGGAGCTTCTGTAAGGTGGCGCCTATCTCTTTGCCCGAGGTGATGCCCAGCTTCCTCAGATCGTGCCCGCTGATGGGGAAGCGAGGGATGGACCATCTGCTCAGCTCTGACAGGAGCTTCTCCTCACCTTTGTACTTGAGCAGCTCGCACACTTTACTCTGGGAATCCAGCTCCCGACTCTGAAAGGATGCGACATGTGTGTGAATCGAAGTAACCACAGAGGGATTTTCTAGAACATCCCAGTCACAAGCAACAGTAAGAAAGGTTGACCATTTACAGTAAATACTTGGCTGAACTGTTCAGGACACTGTGGTCTGATCAGGTTTGACTGACAGCGGTCTGGCAACAAAAGCAGACAAATCTTAAACTGTCGCCACCGTTTTGACTCAAATTCTCTTAAATCCTGAGTGGTTAAAAATATGCAGCTGCACATTTTTCCAACTGACTCTCAGCCAACGTCAAACCAACATGCACACAGCAAAACCCAAATAAAGAAATCTGCTCTATAAGGCGAGACAAGCCCAGTGAGAAACCAGAGAAACCAGTCTTCGTTCTTTCTCCGTCTACTTTATCCAGTGGTGCCTGTGGTGATGGAAGGGTTAAAGTATTGTGTTTTTGTTTATCAATGTCAACCTGAGTAAAAAAAAATTTAATTAAAAGATATAAGAACAAAAACAGTCTAAAAAAGTGACAGCTTAAGATACAACGACTAAATTTGGTTTTGAAAATAACTTCAGAAAAATGGTGAGAACAGAACACCGTCTCTCCCAAACTGACTTTTTATATATTCAGTAAACATGCCATCTTTCAATTATTGCTTAATCCTACAAGGTGTTGTACATGTTCACTTCCTCGCTCACAGTCAGGGATCCACCAGCATGTTATAAACCAGGCAGCCCTCCTGGCCTAAGCTGACTCTGCACCGATCACTTTTTATTTTTTAAAGAAAGCTGCAACCATTAAATGGTGGAACTTAAAACTCTTACTTGTTCAGCTGATTTTCATTCACTAATTGAATGACATGAAGCAAGAGTCACTGGATTAAATAAACCAGAAATAAACCAACTCCCTCCTTTACTCGCTATATTTGCATAAATGTCTTGATGGCTCTTTTTAAACTTCAGGATACTTCCTGTTGATGGTCATACTCTTTACTGTCTGTGTACAAAACATTGTAAAAATCTACCTCATCTTGACATTTACGAGGCTTTCATGTCACAATCAGTATGTTTGTTAGTTTCCATAATTAGTTTTCGTCAGCAGCTCAAGAAACGACTACTCGCGCTGGTAGCAAAGCACATTTCCATAGCACGGGAGTGTTTATGACTTAGAAACAATACTTACAAGTGCGGTGTGTATTTTCAACATATAGAAAATATTGTAGAAAGATTTAAAATATGTCGCATTTGACCCCTGGCCAATAAACTGATCTTAAAGTCAAAGTAATAATAATAATGTTGTATAGAGCCATTTAAAACTATGGTTCTTACTACCATTGTTTGTACTGACCACAAGCATATAGCGACTGATATACGGATTCTAAATATCACAGTACTTTGTGCCTCTGATCTCTCTTTGCGGTCAAGTTAGGTTAAACTTTCATAAAATGTCTTATCTGTAAAATCCTGCTGCCTTTGTTTGCATTGGCAACACTTTTTTTTCCCAATTAGTCCCTAAAATGTGTTCATTTTACTCAAGTACATTTAAAAAAGAACAAAGAAAACAAAATAACTACATATAAAAGACAATACTATTCCCTTATAAATACTGCCCAGCATGTATGTCTAGTTATACATGGAAATATAAAGAAAGTGTAGAATGTCAATAATGTAGGCTTTATAGTGTTGAAATTGTCTATTATACTTTAGCTTGAATGTGGAATCATGTGTCTAATTAGCAAATCTAAATACAATTTCATATTTATGTCTTTAAGAACTTCAATGACAGTTTTAAAAAAATACTGCTACAACTAAAACTGAAGTTGAGCTACAGTTTGTGAAAGATGCACTAACTACAGAAAGAACTAGCAGAGTGTTTTGGTAGCTGTAGAGCAGGGGTAGGCAACTCCAGGCCTCGAGTCCTGGAGGTTTTAGATGTGTCCATGATCCATCACAGCTGAATTAAATGGCTAAATGACTCCTCAGCATTTCTTGAAGTTCTCCAGAGGCCTGGTAATGAACTAATCATTTGATTCAGGTGTGTTAACCCAGGGTGGGATCTAAAACCTGCAGGACACCGGCACTCGAGGCCTGATGTTGCCTACCCCTGCTGTAGAGTATTTGACCCTAACAGATGTGGTTTTGGTTCGGCTCTTTGACCTGTTCTAGGCTCCTCTGCTACCCCCTGCTCTCCTGCAGTGGCAGTTCACAGTGTTGGCTGGCTTTGATAGATGAGATTATAAACGAATTAAAAATAAAACTGATGTTTCTATAAACTCTGGTGTCAGTCTCTCTCCGGTGTGTTTCAGCTTATGAGCTGGGTTGTAACGAAAACTGATCAAAGCTTAAACTAGTGTCAAATCAATTTAGCAAATCTAAACACCAGAGCGATTTATGTTGACATTTCCACATAAAAAAACAAAACAACTTTAAAATAACAGCTAAAACAAATACTGCTATAACACAAACTAAGGTTCAGCTAAGATTTGTGAAATATGCACCATTTACAAAAATAACTACCAGAATGTTTTGGAAACTATTTTTTTTTATTCTACAAACATTGCAAAGATAAATATTTCATCAAAGATCAGCAGCGGTTTTGGTTCAGCTCTGGTTAACGATGCCACACATTTCCTAAATACTTCCTGCCTCTGAAAACAAAGCCGTAACAGTCGGATGAGAACATGCTGCAGTCTGTTGTGAATGACGGCTGCAGGCTGGCAACTCTTGAACATTAGCGACACAGCGGGATAAGGCTATGGTAGGGAACATTCACAGACTCAAAGGGTTAATTAATGTCTGTGAAACTGGCTTTTTAAACACATATGTGACTAATATCAGTGACCACATTGGTCTGGAAATAATATTCTCTGTACAGACTGAGTGGAAGAAGAAGAAACTTACGTCAATAATAAAGTCAGTGAAAGGTTTGAGGCTGTCTGGCTCATCTTCTCTCTTGCAGAGCTCCCGTCTGTATTTGACCACAAACAGTGCCAGGTTCTTCTCCTCTCTGGACACCTTCAATCGGATGTCCATCTTTTCCACCTGCTCTGGGGAGCGGAACAGAGCAGCCAGCATGGTCATGGGTTTGGGAGAGCGGTCTTTGGCGTTCTGCCACACTCGCTTCATCTCGTCAATATCGCCATCTGGAGGTAACCCTGAGGAGCAGCAGGGACAGGAGGGAGTGACCAGAACTGACGTGTAACAAGACAGAAAATGTTTGGTAGAATGATTTCTCCCTCAATCCTATTAAATACTAATTTAACAAGAGTTAAATCAGAGGAAATACAACCTTATTAGATACGAGGCAAAAATAGAGCTCAGAGGACCACAGACATCAGGAGGCACTTAATCCTCTTTATCTCAGGGAAGGAAACCAAAACTTTCTCCCAGTTATAAACAGCTGCAAATTGCAAGAAAAAGGTTGGCACATTTGATCCATTATGTCCAGACCTATGCGAAGAAAACAATGATTTCACTGCCATCCCCTCAGCCCACTTTTAAGAAGGATCCGTGCCAAGGCAAAAGGGATACCATGCTCTACACAAAGAGGTCAGATTTGACCATATTGGGTAAAAAAAAATGTTGTCTACAAAAAGCATATTTCACAAATAATAACCAGTTCTATGAGTATGAGTGTAGGTGCAACCGTCAGCTAAATAAATACATAAAATTAAAAAAATAAATAAAAAAAACCTACAGGGAAAAACTAATGTTGACATCTGAGCTGCAACCATCATGATTTCCTTTTTAAAACAATTTATTTTTCTAATTCATCTTTGGTAGTGCTGGATATAATGTGAAAAACTCTTAAAATGTCAGATTTACCTTTTCTTCTTTTTAAAAACAGCTGAACATAAACATATAAACATTTTTTATCTGGAGTTATTAATTATTAAGACACCCAGCCGTACCCTCCCTCTCTCACCAAGGTACTGAGCCAGCTCCAGGCTATAGATCAGCTCCAGCAGGTGAGCAGCATGGTTCCCGACCGCCAACTTTTTTAGCTCTACCCAGATTCGCTCTCCCGATATAGAGCCCAGTCCGTGACCATTTTCCCTGATGGCAGTCAGTGTCTCAGACTCGTGGTCACCGGGCTCCGAAGCAACTCGGCCGTAAAACCTGCGACAAAATGATGGGAGTGAGGTG